TCTCTACCCCTAATAAAATCGTTGCTTTCAGGATACCTTCGGGAAGTCGCTGACCATTCCCAGCTATGAGCAGGTGCATAGCTTGCCGGACAGGCTACAAAATTTTCCCCTACCGGGTCGGTGATTTCCCATTACTTTTCTCTCTGTCCTATCTACTTAACACTCTTTACCTAACTTACATTGCTTTACTTTATTAACAATCTTCTTACTTTCATTTTTCCTATTTATTGTATTTTCTTTATTAATATAGCAAATTAAGATTATTTTAATGTTACTTGAGAACACTTTTTTCCTACTTACAACCTTCTGCTTAGATGTAGGCTCTAATAGAGTCACTGACAAAATTAGCTGTGAAAAGGGGCACAGCTGGCCGGACTGGCAATAAAACACCTCCATCGGTGCTTTTTAGAATATTGTATTCTTTAACTAGTCTTTTAGCATATAATTCTATTATCATATTGAATATTATTTTTTATTTAGGTTGAGGGTACCAACCTGAACGATTACAAGCTGGTATTTATTTATTATTTTATACTATTTGATAAATTAAATAGGATAAATAAATTTTTATTTAATAAATAATTTTATATTTAATGACCTATTATATTTTTGTTTAGTATGTTCATTTTTAGTAAAAATACCGATATTTTTAGTTCATTTGTGATTACCTTAAGCTCATGTTGAAGCTCTTGTTTCTGGTTCTATAATTTTAGCTGGGATTATATTAAAAATAGGAGGTTACGGTATATTACGGGTTTTATCAATTTTACAGGTAATAAGTTTAAAATATAGATTTATTTGAATTAGAATCAGATTAGTTGGGGGAGGATTAATTAGATTTGTGTGTTTATGTGAAACTGATTTAAAGGCTTTAATTGCTTATTCTTCAGTGGCTCATATAGGAATTGTATTAGCAGGACTTTTAACTATATCTTATTGAGGGCTAAGTGGGTCTTATAGATTAATAATTGCTCATGGGCTTTGTTCATCTGGGTTATTTTGTTTAGCTAATGTATCTTATGAGCGATTAGGTAGACGAAGTTTATTAATTAATAAGGGATTATTAAATTTTATATATTTTTATTTATATTTTTATTAAGATCAGCTAATATAGAAGCTCCTCCAACATTAAATTTATTGGGTGAAATTTCTTAATTAAATAGAATTGTTTCTTGATCTATTATTATACTTACTTTATTATCTTTTTTTAGAGCAGCGTATACTTTATATTTATATTTATTTAGTCAACATGGAAAAATTTTTTCTGGGGCTTATTCTAAAGAATAGGTAAAATTCGTGAATATTTATTAATTATTGTGATTATATTTAAATAGTTAAAAAAAATACTAATTTGTGGTGTTAGTGATATGAGTAATTCATTTTAGATCGTAAAATATTCATCAATTTGTAGAATTAGATTTTTAAATTTAATTTCTATTAGAATAACATGTTCTTTTTTGTAGATTTTATTTTTTATTGAATAATTTAATAGCTTAAATATTTGTTTTACCTATATTAGTATATCTATATTTATTATACCTAATTTAGTACAAATTTTATTAGGGTGAGATGGTTTAGGATTAGTTTAATATTGTTTAGTTATTTATTTTCAAAATATTTAATCTTATAATGCTGGTATGTTGACAGCTTTATCAAATCGAATTCGGGATGTAGCTTTATTATTGGCTATTGCATGAATATTAAATTATGGTTACCTGCTGCGATAGCTTCACCAACTCCTGTTTCTGTTTTAGTTCATTCATCAACACTGGTAACTGCAGGAGTGTATTTATTGATTCGACTTAATATTTTATTAAGAAATACATGAATAGGACAGTTTTTACTTTTATTATCAGGTTTAACTATATTTATAGCAGGTTTAGGAGCCAATTTTGAATTTGATTTAAAAAAAATTATTGCATTATCCACTTTAAGTCAATTGGGATTAATAATAAGAATCTTATCTATAGGCTCTTATAAACTAGCTATATTTCACTTGTTACCCCATGCTTGTTTTAATGTAGGGTTTTCTTCAAAGGACATAATTTTAGAAATTGTGATAATTAGTAATAATAAAATTTTTTCTTTTTTTTATACTTTTTGTCAACTGGCTTAACTGTTTGTTCATTTCGTTTAGTTTATTATTCAATATGTTACGGAACTGCTTGTTTCTCAGTGGGCCGCGCCGGCTGGCTCATCGGATTCTCTGGGTGTGGTCCCATCCCTGACCCGCAGTCCGCACAATCGATAACAACAAAGCTACACGTCTGCAGCAAAACAGACTCACACAACACTACTCAAAATGAACCGCATAATCGGTAACAAATATTCGGAACTACTAACTCATGAACAAACTACACAGCTGTAACAACTATGAAAATGTAAACAACAAAGGTAAGACACTCAATATAAATTAACAAAAAACACTATTTATCCACCTTACTCTTCCAGATCGGGCCCCGGTTCCGGACCCAGCGTACCCGCCCTACCATGAGACGATCACCTCCACTCGTCTCCCTCATTTTGGCCACTAAATGGCCTATATTAGCCCGTGTCGGCCATAATGCCCACTCTCCCCAACAATATTATTTTAGCCGGACATGATTTCTTTCAATAGGTGCGTATAATTGGTTGCGTTTTCTTAAAATGTATAACAATCATAATCATTGCTTATGGCATTTATCTTGCAGCTGTTTAGGATCTCATGCAAGCGGATAATTCATTAACTTCACAGGTGCGTATAATGGTTTGTGTACTCTTATAATTATTGGCATTAATATTTCTTTTATTTCTGTCCAATTTGCACGAGGTCTCTATTCAGGTAAATTCGTATTCATGCACGTGAACATTTCTTCTCCAGGTGCGTATTACTGTTGCATATATTTATACTAATTGACAAAGTGCAATTTTCCCCTACCGGGTCGGTGATTTCCCATTACTTTTCTCTCTGTCCTATCTACTTAACACTCTTTACCTAACTTACATTGCTTTACTTTATTAACAACCTTCTTACTTTCATTTTTCCTATTTATTGTATTTTCTTTATTAATATAGCAAATTAAGATTATTTTAATGTTACTTGAGAACACTTTTTTCCTACTTACAACCTGCTGCTTAGATGTAGGCTCTAATAGAGTCACTGACAAAATTAGCTGTGAAAAGGGGCACAGCTGGCCGGACTGGCAATAAAGCACCTCCATCGGTGCTTTTTAGAATATTGTATTCTTTAACTAGTCTTTTAGCATATAATTCTATTATCATATTGAATATTATTTTTTATTTAGGTTGAGGGTACCAACCTGAACGATTACAAGCTGGTATTTATTTATTATTTTATACTTTATAGTTTCTTTACCTATATTAATTGGTATTTTTTATTTGATAAATTAAATAGGATAAATAAATTTTTATTTAATAAATAATTTTATATTTAATGACCTATTATATTTTTGTTTAGTATGTTCATTTTTAGTAAAAATACCGATATTTTTAGTTCATTTGTGATTACCTTAAGCTCATGTTGAAGCTCTTGTTTCTGGTTCTATAATTTTAGCTGGGATTATATTAAAAATAGGAGGTTACGGTATATTACGGGTTTTATCAATTTTACAGGTAATAAGTTTAAAATATAGATTTATTTGAATTAGAATCAGATTAGTTGGGGGAGGATTAATTAGATTTGTGTGTTTATGTGAAACTGATTTAAAGGCTTTAATTGCTTATTCTTCAGTGGCTCATATAGGAATTGTATTAGCAGGACTTTTAACTATATCTTATTGAGGGCTAAGTGGGTCTTATAGATTAATAATTGCTCATGGGCTTTGTTCATCTGGGTTATTTTGTTTAGCTAATGTATCTTATGAGCGATTAGGTAGACGAAGTTTATTAATTAATAAGGGATTATTAAATTTTATATATTTTTATTTATATTTTTATTAAGATCAGCTAATATAGAAGCTCCTCCAACATTAAATTTATTGGGTGAAATTTCTTAATTAAATAGAATTGTTTCTTGATCTATTATTATACTTACTTTATTATCTTTTTTTAGAGCAGCGTATACTTTATATTTATATTTATTTAGTCAACATGGAAAAATTTTTTCTGGGGCTTATTCTAAAGAATAGGTAAAATTCGTGAATATTTATTAATTATTGTGATTATATTTAAATAGTTAAAAAAAAATACTAATTTGTGGTGTTAGTGATATGAGTAATTCATTTTAGATCGTAAAATATTCATCAATTTGTAGAATTAGATTTTTAAATTTAATTTCTATTAGAATAACATGTTCTTTTTTGTAGATTTTATTTTTTATTGAATAATTTAATAGCTTAAATATTTGTTTTACCTATATTTGTATATCTATATTTATTATACCTAATTTAGTACAAATTTTATTAGGGTGAGATGGTTTAGGATTAGTTTAATATTGTTTAGTTATTTATTTTCAAAATATTTAATCTTATAATGCTGGTATGTTGACAGCTTTATCAAATCGAATTCGGGATGTAGCTTTATTATTGGCTATTGCATGAATATTAAATTATGGTTACCTGCTGCGATAGCTTCACCAACTCCTGTTTCTGTTTTAGTTCATTCATCAACACTGGTAACTGCAGGAGTGTATTTATTGATTCGACTTAATATTTTATTAAGAAATACATGAATAGGACAGTTTTTACTTTTATTATCAGGTTTAACTATATTTATAGCAGGTTTAGGAGCCAATTTTGAATTTGATTTAAAAAAAATTATTGCATTATCCACTTTAAGTCAATTGGGATTAATAATAAGAATCTTATCTATAGGCTCTTATAAACTAGCTATATTTCACTTGTTACCCCATGCTTGTTTTAATGTAGGGTTTTCTTCAAAGGACATAATTTTAGAAATTGTGATAATTAGTAATAATAAAATTTTTTCTTTTTTTTATACTTTTTGTCAACTGGCTTAACTGTTTGTTCATTTCGTTTAGTTTATTATTCAATATGTTACGGAACTGCTTGTTTCTCAGTGGGCCGCGCCGGCTGGCTCATCGGATTCTCTGGGTGTGGTCCCATCCCTGACCCGCAGTCCGCACAATCGATAACAACAAAGCTACACGTCTGCAGCAAAACAGACTCACACAACACTACTCAAAATGAACCGCATAATCGGTAACAAATATTCGGAACTACTAACTCATGAACAAACTACACAGCTGTAACAACTATGAAAATGTAAACAACAAAGGTAAGACACTCAATATAAATTAACAAAAAACACTATTTATCCACCTTACTCTTCCAGATCGGGCCCCGGTTCCGGACCCAGCGTACCCGCCCTACCATGAGACGATCACCTCCACTCGTCTCCCTCATTTTGGCCACTAAATGGCCTATATTAGCCCGTGTCGGCCATAATGCCCACTCTCCCCAACAATATTATTTTAGCCGGACATGATTTCTTTCAATAGGTGCGTATAATTGGTTGCGTTTTCTTAAAATGTATAACAATCATAATCATTGCTTATGGCATTTATCTTGCAGCTGTTTAGGATCTCATGCAAGCGGATAATTCATTAACTTCACAGGTGCGTATAATGGTTTGTGTACTCTTATAATTATTGGCATTAATATTTCTTTTATTTCTGTCCAATTTGCACGAGGTCTCTATTCAGGTAAATTCGTATTCATGCACGTGAACATTTCTTCTCCAGGTGCGTATTACTGTTGCATATATTTATACTAATTGACAAAGTGCAATTTTCCCCTACCGGGTCGGTGATTTCCCATTACTTTTCTCTCTGTCCTATCTACTTAACACTCTTTACCTAACTTACATTGCTTTACTTTATTAACAATCTTCTTACTTTCATTTTTCCTATTTATTGTATTTTCTTTATTAATATAGCAAATTAAGATTATTTTAATGTTACTTGAGAACACTTTTTTCCTACTTACAACCTGCTGCTTAGATGTAGGCTCTAATAGAGTCACTGACAAAATTAGCTGTGAAAAGGGGCACAGCTGGCCGGACTGGCAATAAAGCACCTCCATCGGTGCTTTTTAGAATATTGTATTCTTTAACTAGTCTTTTAGCATATAATTCTATTATCATATTGAATATTATTTTTTATTTAGGTTGAGGGTACCAACCTGAACGATTACAAGCTGGTATTTATTTATTATTTTATACTTTATAGTTTCTTTACCTATATTAATTGGTATTTTTTATTTGATAAATTAAATAGGATAAATAAATTTTTATTTAATAAATAATTTTATATTTAATGACCTATTATATTTTTGTTTAGTATGTTCATTTTTAGTAAAAATACCGATATTTTTAGTTCATTTGTGATTACCTTAAGCTCATGTTGAAGCTCTTGTTTCTGGTTCTATAATTTTAGCTGGGATTATATTAAAAATAGGAGGTTACGGTATATTACGGGTTTTATCAATTTTACAGGTAATAAGTTTAAAATATAGATTTATTTGAATTAGAATCAGATTAGTTGGGGGAGGATTAATTAGATTTGTGTGTTTATGTCAAACTGATTTAAAGGCTTTAATTGCTTATTCTTCAGTGGCTCATATAGGAATTGCATTAGCAGGACTTTTAACTATATCTTATTGAGGGCTAAGTGGGTCTTATAGATTAATAATTGCTCATGGGCTTTGTTCATCTGGGTTATTTTGTTTAGCTAATGTATCTTATGAGCGATTAGGTAGACGAAGTTTATTAATTAATAAGGGATTATTAAATTTTATATATTTTTATTTATATTTTTATTAAGATCAGCTAATATAGAAGCTCCTCCAACATTAAATTTATTGGGTGAAATTTCTTAATTAAATAGAATTGTTTCTTGATCTATTATTATACTTACTTTATTATCTTTTTTTAGAGCAGCGTATACTTTATATTTATATTTATTTAGTCAACATGGAAAAATTTTTTCTGGGGCTTATTCTAAAGAATAGGTAAAATTCGTGAATATTTATTAATTATTGTGATTATATTTAAATAGTTAAAAAAAATACTAATTTGTGGTGTTAGTGATATGAGTAATTCATTTTAGATCGTAAAATATTCATCAATTTGTAGAATTAGATTTTTAAATTTAATTTCTATTAGAATAACATGTTCTTTTTTGTAGATTTTATTTTTTATTGAATAATTTAGTATACTTTATTGAATGAGAAGTACTTTCTTTAAATTCTATATCAATTACTATGACTTTTTTGTTTGAGTGAATAAGTTTATTATTTATATCTTTTGTGTTAATAATTTCTTCTTTAGTTATTTTTTACAGAAAAGTGTATATAAGGAGATATTAATAATAATCGTTTAATCATACTAGCTTAAATATTTGTTTTACCTATATTTGTATATCTATATTTATTATACCTAATTTAGTACAAATTTTATTAGGGTGAGATGGTTTAGGATTAGTTTAATATTGTTTAGTTATTTATTTTCAAAATATTTAATCTTATAATGCTGGTATGTTGACAGCTTTATCAAATCGAATTCGGGATGTAGCTTTATTATTGGCTATTGCATGAATATTAAATTATGGTTACCTGCTGCGATAGCTTCACCAACTGCTGTTTCTGTTTTAGTTCATTCATCAACACTGGTAACTGCAGGAGTGTATTTATTGATTCGACTTAATATTTTATTAAGAAATACATGAATAGGACAGTTTTTACTTTTATTATCAGGTTTAACTATATTTATAGCAGGTTAAGGAGCCAATTTTGAATTTGATTTAAAAAAAATTATTGCATTATCCACTTTAAGTCAATTGGGATTAATAATAAGAATCTTATCTATAGGCTCTTATAAACTAGCTATATTTCACTTGTTACCCCATGCTTGTTTTAATGTAGGGTTTTCTTCAAAGGACATAATTTTAGAAATTGTGATAATTAGTAATAATAAAATTTTTTCTTTTTTTTATACTTTTTGTCAACTGGCTTAACTGTTTGTTCATTTCGTTTAGTTTATTATTCAATATGTTACGGAACTGCTTGTTTCTCAGTGGGCCGCGCCGGCTGGCTCATCGGATTCTCTGGGTGTGGTCCCATCCCTGGCCCGCAGTCCGCACAATCGATAACAACAAAGCTACACGTCTGCAGCAAAACAGACTCACACAACACTACTCAAAATGAACCGCATAATCGGTAACAAATATTCGGAACTACTAACTCATGAACAAACTACACAGCTGTAAAAACTATGAAAATGTAAACAACAAAGGTAAGACACTCAATATAAATTAACAAAAAACACTATTTATCCACCTTACTCTTCCAGAACGGGCCCCGGTTCCGGACCCAGCGTACCCGCCCTACCATGAGACGATCACCTCCACTCGTCTCCCTCATTTTGGCCACTAAATGGCCTATATTAGCCCGTGTCGGCCATAATGCCCACTCTCCCCAACAATATTATTTTAGCCGGACATGATTTCTTTCAATAGGTGCGTATAATTGGTTGCGTTTTCTTAAAATGTATAACAATCATAATCATTGCTTATAGCATTTATCTTGCAGCTGTTTAGGATCTCATGCAAGCGGATAATTCATTAACTTCACAGGTGCGTATAATGGTTTGTGTACTCTTATAATTATTGGCATTAATATTTCTTTTATTTCTGTCCAATTTGCACGAGGTCTCTATTCAGGTAAATTCGTATTCATGCACGTGAACATTTCTTCTCCAGGTGCGTATTACTGTTGCATATATTTATACTAATTGACAAAGTGCATTAATTCCTAAATTTTTCTCTTATATTATAGAATTAATTTTTTTATTTTTTTTACAACACTGAATGGAACAGGCGACGAAATACTACAAGGATATTGCTAGTCGCCACAAAATAAACGCGCCAGAAGGCACTTTAGAGGCGATCGTTGCGCCGATTTAGGAACAATGGCCCACACAATTACTTAAAACTGGGTATGTCACGTATTATGTATTGTATGTATTAAATCGCTTAATTCTACCTTACCCTACCTAAAGAGCTCTCTGGGGGTGGTAAGGGGCGATATAAATGCGTAAATTCAAATTGGGTAAGTATGTGAGCATAGTTCGCGCAAGTGCTAATTTTAGATTTTTATATTTTACAGGCGCAGATGCATCACCTTTGGAGTTTCCCTCACCGTTCGCACTCTAAAGTGAAGCTCGGCGTAAGTGCCTATGTATGTATAAATATATTTTATAAATACAAATTAACTAAATTTAACGATAAAAAAAATCTACTCCTCTTCAGGGAGTGCAATTAGGAGTCTTCTTCTGACTCTGCCAGGGGCTCGAACGAGGATGGGCAAAAATATGGAACGGACTCACTCGGTGGATGTGGGCGGGGTCTCGCCTGTGGCCGCTTCTTCGTTGTTGGAGCCCGGTCGTTGGTGGCTCGTCTCGTCGCCTTCAGGTTTGCGCCGACGCTTGCTGGCGGCGTCGCGGATATGGCTGGTTTGCGCCGCTGAACTGAATCCTGGCCTTTGAATGTTTCGTGGGCCTCTCTGGTGCGCGAGCTGGTCTCCTTGGTGCCGGAGCCGTTAATTTTTGGCTTATTTGGTTCGTCTCTCGTCGCACTTAAGTTTTAAATCTCTTTTAATTTTTTTATTATATTTTTTTTTTTGTGACTCGAGCGGTTTGATTTGGATATATTTATTAAAGGGCAAAAAAAACACAAAACCAAAACTTTTATTTGTCTGTTAAGTCATTTGTGTTACGCGCCGGCTTAATTTGTAGAAGGGAAAAAATTCGAGAGTTTTGAGCAGATATGCAATATACAACTTTTTTGCTCACTTCGAGCTGGCACGCCCGCCGTTAACCGCTGAACAAATCGAACGCCCCGACATTTTGGGCAGCCACACCATCGGTGCCGAATTTCGGCACACGCATACATTTGCGAGGCGGGCACCGTTGCTGCTCATCTGCACAGCTGCATTTTTTTGGGTCAACGGCCCAAATGAAGGCCAAGGGCATATCCAAGGGCATGCGATCCACTCTCCTCATATTCTCTTTAAGAGCGAACCGGGCGGCCAATAGCAATCGTCGCTTTTGGCGCCGTGGATCGCATGTCTGGCGTTGCCACCCTTCAAAAATTTGGGCTCCGCCGTGGGCCCAGCGTCACCCCGCATACTCCGACCATATGACAAAAGATATCGGCGTGGCCGATAATATCGCACGCAACCAACTGAGTAACCCTCGGTGCTGCCGATAACGTCAAATGCAACAAATAACTGGGGATTTAAATTGTATAGGTTTAAATGAATTAAATGATGAAAGTTGAGTTATATTACGGGAAATAATAGGTTTATTAGTTATAAGAATTATTGGAGGTAGAATATTAAATTGGTTAATTTTTCCTGTACCTTATATAATTTGTTTCCCTTTTTTTTTTAATTATTAACTTTATTTGTATGTATTTTTGGAGGTTTATTTGGTTATTTAATTTCAGTAAGAAATTGTTACACTACTAATAAATCAATAATTTTATATAATTTAACAAATTTTATAGGTTCAATATGGTTTATACCTTATATTAGTACTTATGGAGTTATTTTTTATTCCTTAAATTATGGGCAAATTGTTGGTAAAAGATTTGATCAAAGTTGATCAGAATATTTTGGAGGTCAACATTTATATTAAAAATTATTAGGTTATTCTCAAACTTTGT